TTGGACTTGGTCCTTCAATATCATTGGTTCTTAATCATATGCTCCCACCACTTAAAATGGTTGAATCAATTCTTTTTGGTATATTCTACCTATTAAAAAAAAAAATCACTGCCACTGAGTCAAATCTGACTCATAGCAATCCCTTCTTGGGCTTCTGAGGTCGTATCACTACATAAATAGATAGCCCAATCTTCCTTCTGAGGCGTGGCTGGTGGGTTTGAACCTCCAGCCTTCTGGTTAGCAGTCAAATGCCTTAGACCCTACGCCACCAGAGCTCCTTATTCTATCTATAAGTTTTATTTTTCTTTTTAGTATGATTGGCTTGTAACTTTTTTTCTTTCATATTATTCAGGTCAGATATAGTCATTATTTATTGATCTATTAAAAATCAATGTTGGTTCTATTGAACATCACTGATTCTATGTATCTTATTTCAAATAATTTCTGCTTTTATATTTAGTGTTTTCTTCTATTTGACTTCATTTTTGACCCTTTTTCTAGCTTACTAAGATAAACTCTTAATTAATTTTCACACATTATTATTTTCTGGTATAAATATTTACAGCTATAATTTTCCTTCTAAAGCCTGCTGTAACTCCATCCCACAAAGTTTTAGTAGATAGTGCTTTCCCTGGCCTTCAGTTTAAATGTTTCATAATTTCTATAAAGAGTTTAATAATACTTTATACATAAATGTGTTTTAATTTACCATTACTATTGTTGATTTCAAATTTTATTACATTATTATGACACAAAAGTTGATGTGTGTGATAAAGATTCTTTGAAATGTGTCGAAACTTTTGAGGCCTTGTAACTGAACTTTAAAAAAAAAAAAACTGGTTGAGTTCAGAGTTCTAGCTAAAGAAGTATATGTAAGGCCAAGTTTGTTAACTGTATTATTCAAATATTCACCATTTTATTATTTCCCATGGTACATTAGTTTCAGAGAGATATGTTTCCATCTCCAATTATAATTGTCTCCTTTTGATGTCTTAGTTGTGTCTCTTTTAAACAGCATATTGCTTGACTTTAAGTTTTTGTTGCTGTTGTTAGATGTTGTCGAGTCAGCTCCATGTCATAGACACGGTATGTATAACAGAACAAAATATTGCACGGTCCTGAGCCATCCTCACAATTGTTGCTATGTTTGAGCCACTGTTTTAGCCATTGTGTCAACCCATCTCATTGAGGGTCTCCCTCTTTTCCACGGACCTTCCAGTCTACCAAGCAAAATGTCCTTTTCTAGCCCTTGGGCCCTCCTGATAACATGTCCAAAGCAAGTGAGATGGAAGACTCATCATCCTTGCTTCTCAGGAACATTCTGGCTGTATTTCTTCCAGGACGGATTTGTTCATTCTTCTCGCAGTCCATGATGTATTCACTATTTTCCAACACCACAATTTGAAAGCATCAATTCACTGTCTTCTAATAGAGGCATTTAGTCCATTTTACATTTATTGTTGATATATTTGATTTAAGTCCTGCCAATTTTTATTGTATTATCTAATTATCATGGATTTTTTTTCCTTTTAATTTTCTTTTCTACCTTCTCTTGGACTATTAGATTTCCTTGTCCCCTTCATTTTGCTCTATCTGTTTTGGTGGCTTTTATATTTTATTCATCCTTACATTTGTAACATGTATATTATTTAATTTTTCTTAAAAAATAAAAAGACAAGTCTAAAAAATAATTACAATCTTTATCTTCCTCCCATATTAGACAATGACCTTTGTTTGCACATCTTCCCTCCAAATTATTCTCCACATCCTCCAGGTTGTTTATTATTATTATTAAAAACAAAATAATTACTTACTCTTTTACAGTTAATATTTATTTAGACCTACTAAAATGTCTCAACATTTTTTTCTCTTTCTCATTCTTTGGTGCATCTTATGCATTTTCTCTTTTACTTATTACCCACGTACAATCCTTTAAGCCTCATCTGTGGCTAGAAACTTATTTAAGCCTCTGTATAGCTGAAAGCATAGTGGCTAAGGCAATTGACTGCTAACCAGAAGGCTGGCGGTTCAAACCCACCAGCCACTCCTCGGAAGGAAGATGGGGCAATCTACTTCCGTAGTGATACTGCCTCGGAAACCCAAGGAGGGGTCGCTATGAGTCAGGTCTGACTCGACGGCATGTAACAACAACAACAACATAGCTGAAAATAGCTTTACTTCACCCTCAGCCTTAAATGAGAGTTCAGCTGAGTAGAGAACTGATCATTATTTTCTCTCAGCACTTTGAAGATGTATTCAATTTTCTTCTGGCATTTATTACTGTTGATAAGAATCCTACTACTACTTTGATGATTGTTCCAAAGTAAATATAGTTTTAAGATTTTCTTTTTATCCTTATATTCTGCATTTTAATTATGATGTGCCTGGATGTGAGATTAGCTTCAATGATTCTCAGAACTCAAGAGTTTCCATTCTGTGGGCTTATGTCATTCTTTAACTATAGAAATTCTTAACTTTTATTGCTGTGAATATTGTCTGTACTTATATACATGTCTTATCTTCTATTTAATAAACTATAGTCTCTTCTTCTGAAATTACTATTCATTGTATATAAATATTTGCTTCCATTTTTCAGATGTGGTAACTCCTCTTTTATATTTCTCATCTGCATTAATTATGGAACCCCAGATCTTATAATAGAAAAATCCTAAAACTTTATTGTTTCACATAATAGAAGTTTATTTCTCATTCATGAGAAGCCTGATAGGAGTGGCTGATTGGTGGTTGTCTGTTCTCTAAGCAACGCTTGTTGTTATGTGCCGTTGAGTCGGCCCGACTCACAGCGACCCCTCCTTGGGTTTCCGAGGTAGTATCACTACAGAAGTAGATTGCCCAACCTTCCTTCCGAGGAGTGGCTTGTGGGTTTGAACCGCCAGCCTTCTGGTTAGCAGTCAAGTGCCTTAGGCACTACGCTACCAAAGCTCCTCATCCAATGTCTCCACCACCTTTGAGCAATGGCTTCTAAGTTCACTAGACTTATCTGCCTGTTCTGGTTACCCAGTGCCGTTCTGACAAGAAAATACCAAAAAGGAGTTTATTGTCTCACAGTTTGGAAGCTTTAAGTCCGAGTTCAAAGTGCCAGGCTCTTGGGGCTGGGTGAAAGCCCCTCAACCTTTGTTTCAGCTCTGCTTCCTGCTCCCGGCCCGCTGAAGCTGGAGGCTTTTCTTCACTCAGCTCCTGGCTGCTGAGGCTGACAAGCCCAAGGTTGACAAGTAAAAAGGCACAGTCCCGATGTTAACAAACAACATGGCAGGCCATTGATTTAAGTCCATTGAAAGTCCCAGGATCAGCAGAGCATGACAGGCTGCTGAATAACGACTTGGCTACATGCAGGGCCCAAGCGTGCCATAAGCTAGAGACTATTCCCCAAGGCTTCTCCTCATATAAAGGAAGCAGACCACATCCCTAAGGCTGCTACTCAGCTGCTCGTAGTAGATCCACCATGGAGTTGATTACCACCCTCATCATGGGGAATACTACATCCAGCTGCCCAGCGACTCACCCAAGCCCAGCCAAGTTGACACACATCTTAACCACCACACTGCCTAAGTAAGCAAAGGGGAAAATTGTTTAGAGATCATGAGTGAGAGATTTTTATGACAAGCCTGTATGTTATCTCACACATCACTTCCAAATATTAGAATGGCCAGAACTCAATCATTTAACTACAACAAACTGCAAGGGAATCTGGGGAAAATAATCATGTTGTATTCATTCTCTATTGATGCTATATAAATTAATGGCTTAAAATAAAAAATTAAGTTATTAGCAACCTTAAATAACAATACTCCTATACTCCATAGGTTTCATGGGTCAGTTTTTATAACAGATCCTGTGCTTATAGTTTCTTCCCTACATGGAGTGTTCAACTGTGGGCTCTGAATTCAGTCTACACTGAGGATTCCACCATTGTTAGAGACTCAATTTCCAGTCATGGTCTGGTCTAAATGAGTCATTTACTGGCGTACTCTGACCAGAAGGAAGAATTAATGGTGCCCCTTTCACAGACAGTGAAGCATTTTTGTGACACCCCCCCACACACACAGCTTTACAGTGAAGATTAATCCCAGGTTCTTTAAAATGTGTGAGGCCTATGGCATAGATGTTGAAAACTCAGTCCCTCAATCAGATACTCTTTTGAATGGTGAGACTTCTCATTCACTGTCAAACTTGGGGTTCCCTTTTGATACATAGCTGTGGAAGATTTTCTTTCTAATTTTCAAGCACAGGTCCACATTTTCAAACTTTTTAAAATATTATGTCCCACTTTTCCAAGTTATTAGAGGAGAGGTGGAACATCTAGGTATGCTTAGTCCTACATCCTGACACCAAGCCCCCTTTCCCTGTCTTGACTTTGTATCCTATACTCAAGTGCTTCCTAATTTTGCCATCTTGTTATTCATGATCCCCAAAAGATACACATTATGTTTTGGAAAGTGAAAAACCCCTGTTGAAGCAATTATATTGTAATAGTTTGGATAGTAACAAAGGATCTTTCAAACAAATAAAAAAAAAATTGAATGAAAACTAAGGAGAGAGAGGAGGAGAAAAGGAAGACTTGAGAGAAGGAAAGGAGGAACAAAAGACGCAGAGTCAGAAATGAAAGAAGAAAGACAAAGAGCCAGGAAACTTCTCATCAACTGAGAAAGTAGGAATTCCCAAAAAGATTTTTATTCTCTTAATAAAACAAATTAAAAGACAGTTTGCATAGTTCTTGCAATTCTACTCAGCCACAAGAATATTACTGAGGAAATATTATTCAAAAGTCCGAAGTCTATACCCAAACAACAATCCCTAATTGGATAGTCATCTGCCTGCCACATTGCATTGCGGCTGGTGATAGAAGGCAAGATGCAACCTAAGGGTCCCAATGCCGATCTCTTTCTCACAACTTCTTCTCAAAATAACATCTATAAATTCTAAGTTCTCTCTGGAACACACAAATCTCATTTTTGTTTTTCTGTCTTGTCTTATTGCAGCAATATCTCGATCAAGTATTGGTAAGTTCATTTTCTTTTCTTCAATTCTGTTGACATTCCGCTGCTTTTGATCAAGAGGACATTTTTCTATACTTCCCAGACTTCTTCCACTGAGACACAGCGTAAGTGTGAGGCTGATGTTTCTCTCCTTTGCATAACCCAGACACATCAATAATCAGCCAAAAAGTGTAGAAAGCAAATAAAAATTTCTAGTTGCTTATTATAATGGCATGTCACCAAGAAACTAAACCAGTTTCCAAACCTGTAGTGCTAGTATGATTAGGAAGAAAATAGAGTACACTAAGAAGAAAGAGAACAATGAGTTTTTATGAAAACTGGAAACAGAGATAATACATTATGACAGACAAATGAGAAAACACATTATAAGAGACAAAACCTGTCTCCTGAGAATTTCAAAGTTTGAAAGGGTAGCCTTCTCTAGAAGAATTTGGTATACTCAGTGTGCTGCGATGAGGTGGTTTCTATCTTATTGCACCTACTTTTTCAAAAAGTATGAGTCAAGGGCATCAGCAGAAAGTGTGAATGTTGAAAACTTGAAGAGAAAAAGAGGTAGGAAAGTCATCTCAAAGAGTATAAAAAAGTGAATTCACTATGAGAGTGTGGAAGATCTTCTGGCAGTGGTGGGTGTCCACTGGATTTTACTCCAACAGCTTTGCTTGAGAAAGGCACAGAGTAAACAGATGTTTTTTGACCAGGGCTGGAATTTTACCAAGAGAAGTACAAAAGGGATGTGTAGGTTTGCCAGGGAGAGAGAGGCAAAGGTGACAAATGTATTAGCAAGCAAGTAGTTATGATGTGTGAAGCACGGAATCTAGGCCAGGGAAGGAGGGAAGAGAGGAAAAGGGGGTGATTACAAAATTTAAAAGATGGATAATGGACCAGACATTCCCGTGATATTGATAGAGAGCTTGCAGGTGGGTAGGGTGAGGACAGTTCTTAAAGGAAATGAGCTGGAAAACTAGAAAGGGGGATCAGACGGTGGGATTCTTAAAAGTGAACTGGTGCAGTTATTAGAAATGAAAAGATTCCAGGATTTTCAAAGGCGTGAGTGATAGACTTGGGTCAGGAGAAAAGTTTGCTGAAAGCTGAGGAGGTCAAAACATGGAAATCCCAAGATACTGGATGAATCATATTCACTAATATAGAAGCCACTAACGCTATGACAGAAATGGTGAAAGAGAGGACAGTGATCCAAGAGCTCAAGTAATGAGCGGAAGTAACCAGTATATTCCAGCTCCTAGTAACCCTATGTGCTAGAGTAGAACTATAATCTTTACAGAAATAGATTGCCAGGGCTTTCTTCCGCAGAGCTGCTGAGTTGGCTCAAACTGCCAACCTTTACATTAGTAGCTGAGTGTATACTGAGTCACTCAAGGACCTAATTAAGGTATAACCTGTTGCCACAGAATCAGTTCTGACTCGTAGCAACCCTACAGGACAGAGTAGAACTGCCCCATAGGGTTTCCAAGGCTATAATCATTATGGAAGCAGAGTACCACATCTTTCTCCCATGGAGTGGCTGGTAGATTCAAACCACCAACCTTTCAGTTAGCAGCCAATTGCTTAACCACTGTGCCACAAGTGCTCCTTAATTAAGATATAAAAACCAAAACCAAACTTACTATCATCAAGTTGATCCCTATGCATAGCAACCTCCATTGGGTTTCTGAGGCAGTAAATCTTTATGGAAATAGATTTCCCCATCTTCCTTCCACAAAGCAGCTGGTGGGTTTGAACCAACAACCTTCTGGTTAGCAGTGAAATGTGTTAGGCACTATGCCATCAGAGATCCTTTAATTAAGGTATAGATATAAATTGAAAGATAGTTTTTTAAAAAAAGTGAAAATCATGGATGAACAAACCTTAAAATGCAGTTAAGTGCTCATTATGCTCTGTCACCAGCATTCAGGACTTTCCAAATGACAATAAAGAGGATAAGGGAGAAAAGAAGTAAAATAAAGCAGCACCTCAAACACAGTAAAATGAGATCTGGTGGTATAGTGGCTAAGACATTTGACTGTTAACCAAAACGTTGGTAATTCAAACCCACCAGCCACTCAGCAAAAGAAAGATGGGGCAGTCTGCTTCTGTAAAGACTGACAGCCTTGGAAACCCAGTGGGGGTCACAATGAGTCAGAATCAACTTGACGGCAGTGAGTTTGGTTTTCCTGAGTTTTCAAATGCAGTGAAGACCTATTTTTCACACGTTGTCCAGCCATTGCCTATTTCACTCCATAACATTTCTAAGAATTTTTCAGCTTTCCCTTTGTTACAATTCCTGACTTTCACTGAAGTCCTGTGAGATAAGTAAGATAGAAGAAACAACTTCTGTTTTAAAAGATGAGAAAATTAATGTTAAGAAGGTTTAAACAATGTGGAACAGAACTTCAAATTTTAAAAAAATCCAGACTTACTGGACCCATTGAAACTGGAGAAATCCCTGAGACTACCACCCTACTACACTCTTTAAACTTCAAACCAAAACTGTCCCCTGAAATCACTTTTTAACTAAATTTTTAAGCTAACTTTAAATAGCTGGTTAGCTCAAAAACCAAAGAATGTCACCCTTGGGTACTGTGGTCTGTTAACAAAACTATATGAAGGCAACTAGCCAACAGTTACTCTAAAGCATGGATGAGAAACTTGGAAACAGGGGGCGGAGGGAACAGACAGCGAGACTAAGTTAATGTGGATGCAACAACTAGAGTGGAAATTATGAGAATGTTGACACAACATGAAGAGTGTAACCAGTATCTCTGAACAATATGTGTAGAAATTGTTGCATGGATACCTGTTTTGCTGTGTGTGCTTCCACCAAAAAGACAAAAAAATCATTTAAAAAAAATTGTTCATTGACTTGCCCAAAGTCATAGAGCTAAAAGTAGCAAAGCTGGCACTCAGGTCTTTAACCTCAAGACTATTGGTATCTCACAGGGAGGGGATGGGATCGGCTACACTCGATGCCTTTTGGAATTCTAAACCTAACTATAGCTATATTTGTCAATTTTCTTATAGGTGACACAAAATGTTTAAAACCAACTCAAGAACCTTTTTGTAAGTTTTCCCTGACTATTTCTCAATTTAGTTCTTCTTTTTGATCTTCTAAAAGGTACCTGTTATGGGGGTGTGGGGGGTTGGGCAGGACAGTGGGGTTAGGAGGTATATAAAGATGGAAGAAAGAAGATTAACTTCCCATTTTACTATCTCCTTTTCCTTTACCAGTGTGGGAACCTGAGGCTGATGTCAGGATCTCCCTAAGTAACTGATTTGTTTTTATTATTATTGTTTATCAATGTGGGGACTCTGCTAATAAATAAAGAAGGTAAAAGAAAAACCCTAGGGTTGGATGGAGTTGTTTATCAAAATAAAAAGAAAATTTTGAAAGGAGTTGATAGCCATTGTTGTTGTTGTTGTTGTTATGTGCCGTTGAGTCGGCCCCGACTCATAGCGACCCCTCCTTGGGTTTCCAAGGCAGTATCACTACGGAAGTAGGATTGCCCAACCTTTCTTCCAAGGAGTGGCTGGTGGGTTTGAACCGCCAGCCGTCTGGTTAGCAGGCAAGTGTCTTAGCCACTAAGGTAATGAAAATTGAGAACAAGAGAAATAATAGCAAGGAATATGATTTTATCAGTCTCCTTCATGGAAAAAGCTGAACACCTTCCTCCCACCTTCCATGCAAATCTAATACATAGCAAAGGTTTGGTCTGAAATAAACATCTGGAGTCTTGCTCTCTCCAAACTGACTTATTTATTTTTGTTTTTGTATTTTAGCTGGCGCTGCAGGACCTATCAGTAAGTTCTTTTTCTGCGTCTTAATTCTCACAAGCTTTGCTTCACTACAATGTTGGGATATGTAAAACAGTCCTATTCCTGGGTGTTTTCATTTCCTTCTGCATAAATTGTCAATTCCTTCCCCCTTATTTATTCCATCTACATAGAATCCATGGTATTCTGTATCTTAATAAATTGGGGCGCCTCTATGAAGAAGTGTTATCATTTCAAATTTTCCCCAAAGCTTGAGATTCAGCAGCAGAGGGAAAACTGTTTGGGTTGCATTAAAGGGAAAGGTAGGCAGGGTACTCTGCTAGAAATGTAACACTCATAGGAAAAGGGCTTAGTGGTGGCCATCAGACTCAAGACCCTCCCGGAGGGTTTTGGTGGCATGCATTGAGTTCCAGCTTGCTGACTAAAGGTCCCCATGCTGTCATTACTGGTTGTGTGGAATATCTGTGGCCTGCTATGAGCAAAAAAGTCTGGAAGAAGCATCCAGAAAGCATTTTAAATGACTTCACAACATCTCTGCTACAGGCACTAGTAGGGAAGGGAGTATAAGAGTAAGGGATGAGCAAGAAGCTGTGATTTAGAAAACTATGAAAAATAGACAGTGACATAAATTATCAGAGATTTTATGGTCTTTCATAGCCTTGCTGCTTGAAGTAGGCCCAAGGTCCTGCACTGACATCACCCTGGAATTTGTTAGAAATGCAGACTATCAGCCTAATATCTACCTCCAGATCTACTACAATAGAATCTGTATTTTAACAAGACCCCAGGAGATCTTTGTGCACGTTAAAATCTGAGAACCATTGCTCTTTAGCATTTCAGTAGTTTGCACTTAGAAAGGAAATAAAAAAGACAGAATGTAATTGATCTATGTTTAACCAGTTCCTCCAAACCTGCAGATTCTCCAACATGAAGAATAGCCTTAAAGCCAATGGCAAGAAAGATGAAACTCAATGGGGTTTAATTCATTTCTTAACACAGTCTCATCCATCACTGCTGAGGATGCTCAGAGCTTGAGATGCTGAGGCAGGGCCAATCTGACAGGAAGAGGGAAAAGAACAATCTAAGGATTAGGGCTCATGGCAAATCACACCTATGGCTACTCACCCTTGTGCACTTATTTATACACATGAAACCTTATTAATATAGCCAAAGTCACACTTCAAGCACAAACACTGGGGAAGTGTCACAAAAGTACATATAACCTAAGAGGGGTGCATATGTGTGTACAGAGTGAATGAGTGTGTGTGTGCGTGTGTGCGTGTGTGTGTGTACATGGGTGTTTCTTAAGGAGAAGACTGTTATTGCCAAGCATGTGGGTCCAGTGACTCAACCTCTTACCCACCAACTCTAACTGTACCTATGAATGTCTTGAGTCTACCTAGTAGTTTCTATTCCCTTTTACATGTTAGGATATTGCAGGCAAAGTTACTCTGTTGAATAAGGGAATCAAGGTCTCCCACAGCAGACAGAAAGTTCTATTGGCTCTTTGAGAAGACGCGATAGATTCTACCCAAACAAGTTTAAATTTACCTAGTTTTGAGGGAGTGGGGAGAAGGGCCTGTGTAATCTACTAAAATACAAACAGGACATCCATTGAGGAGGGAACTCTGACCACTGCATCCCTGTACCTCCAGTGGTCCATTCCCACCAATAGCTGGGGTTCCCCCAAGCACTGAAATATAAACCTTATTTCTTCCTCCAGTGAAATGGCAATTTTGTTCCTGGTTTCTATATTTCTGATGGTCCCTAGAAAAAAATTTTTTTAATGCAAATTCTATTTTCCTATGCCAAAGAACTGTTCTAATTTGTTCTATTTTGTTTTTCCCATATTTTAGCTGGAGCTATTGGACCCATAAGTGAGTTCCATTTCTGTTTCCTAATTCTGACACCCTTTAGTCATCTGAGGGATCTGGGGCCTTCTTCTCACCCTGGCTGTTTACATTTTTATACCTGCAGACTTTCCCACTCTTGATAGCATTTGAATCTCTGTACCTTCCTTTGTCCAAGCCATGAGATAAAATATCCTGAATTGTCACTGAGTTTAAGACAAGGGAAAGTCAAATAATTTACATTTAAAATAATGACCAGTAAGGAAATAATCTCTTGAGTGATGATCAAAATACCTGACTAGAATTCCTTCCTAAACTGAAGGAAATGCTATGAGAAAAACAGATAGTTCTAGGAAAAGACAAAAGTATAAGTATCAAAAGGGCAAAGAAGAAGATGTAACAAAATAAATCAAAGAATTACCACCCTACCTACTCAATCATTTGAGACACGTGAGGGTGACCAGGGGAGAAGGGGGAAAAAGAGGAGAGATGGAGAAGGAAGGGAGGTGGTAATTTTCAGCCTGGGTTCTATATGTTCTCTTTTCCTATAAACTTCTCATTTCAGACAGACATTGAGTGACTTAATCTGAGTTATAGGCTTCTGTTATAAAATTATCTGCAGACTTGCAAAAGTTGTTCTCCCTCTGGCTGAGTTGTTTCATGGTTTCTTTTAAAAAGAATATTGATGTTGTGAGAATTCTATTAATATTAAACCACACTGAATTGCCTCCTCTTTTTATTTCAGTGCAATTCACAGCACCTATTCGTAAGTATCAAGTATCAAGAGTGTTTCCCCACTCTGGTTCCTTTGATAGCTGACCTGCTTTCTTTTGTTTCTGGACACCATGTTTCTCAACTCCCCAAATTTCCAAAGAGGCTATGCATGAAGAGGGGAGACTGTAAACCCCATGGGCTAACTTAAGAAAATAGAAAATAGAAGAAAAGTGCCCTCAGTACCCATCATAATGACCTTTCAGAAAGAAGAGGTAAACTTCTCAAATATGCCAAAATATTTTAAGGAAAGAAGAAAAGAGCAAGGGAAAAAAGGGAGGCATCACAAATTAATACTGAATGAGTCCCGATTCTCTGAAGCCCAGGGAAGCCTCCTTCCCCCCAGGTCCCTAGGCTGTGCAATAGGGAGCCCACCCAAAGCTTGCCATACAAAGAAACTCTGGATGTTCCCAGAACTTCCATTTATGATATTCTCTCTAGAATGAGCGCTGAGGAACAGTACTCTTGTCAAAGTGCTGAAACACACTGATCAATCTCAATCTCTCTCTCTCTTTCAGCTGGAGCTACAGGGCCTATCAGTAAGTTTGCCATCTGGTTCTACACTGTGCACCATTTTAATTTTCTACAGCATCTTAGGAATCTTTCCACATTGGGATTTCAGAAGTTTGGGTTCCATAGTTTTTTCCTCTTAGTTGTCTTCTACCTAGCTTGTCAGTAGGTCATTAATGATCATGTGGAAAGTATACATTCCACTGATAAACATAAACTATGATGTGGAAGATAAACCCCTGTAGAGGGTTTCCAATGACTTATCAATATCACAAAGAAACACTTTTCAGTATATGTTGAGATGGAGGAAAGTGAAATGATGAGAGAAAGGAAGAAAGGAATATTCCCATGGGGAAGGATTTTTCCAGGCCTCTGCAGGGGCTGAAATGGACCCAAAGGGTGACCAGTGGTACTTAACCTCTCAGTGGATCCACTGGATGGTGAGGCCTTCACATGCATTAGCTTGCTGTACTAGTCCAGCAAAAAAGTCAACATCCCCACCACCCAACTGTAGCTGATGCTGAGTTTACGGTGCAGATTCTTATTAGAGACAGCATATAAATAGGAACTATGGTTTCCGGATCTTGAAAGCATCCCCTGATTTCTTTCTTCTTTTTTCTTTTTCTTTCTTAGAGCTCTCTCAAAAAACCATTGGTAAGTCACATAAGTCTCCATTATAATGCCTTTGGCCCTTTGCAATGCTTAGAACATCAGTCTACTATTATTTTGATGATTGTGCACACAGACTCAAGGATCAAGTGCTTCCGGCGCCTCTTTATACCACCCCGAGTCCCTCTAGGTTCGATTCGCCCAAGTTCTGCAATAAAAAGATAGTAACTATGAAGCTGAAATGCAAAGTGAAAGAACACTCCTCTAAGGATGGTCCTTTCTAAGTTGTTCCTCCTTTAAGTATATAATCTAGCTCTTTAAGGCCGATATGGAATAAAAATTTGGAACACAGCATCTAAACTTGCTTTCCTTGCCAATAATTTTTTCATTATTAGATTATCTTCACTTTGTAAACTAATTTTAAGTATCTTTTAGTTTTTTATTGCCCTGAAAAGCTCCTTCCAAAACAGTTAGGTTTCTGTTTTCACCAACTTTTATCAATTTTCCTTACTGTATTTTCCCATAGTAACATCATAAATAATGGTTACATACTAATATACAATTGCTCTTAATTAAACGTTTATAAACTAAGAGCTGTCTCTATATAAATAGTTACAGCTTCACACACTCCATTATGTCATTGTAACAGAAATTAAGAATGTTTTAAATTATAAAACTAAAATATGATTTGATGTTTCCCTATATTTACCTGACAGAATGAATGTGAGTCCTATATGTGTACTTAGGCACATTCTCTGAGTGATTCCTATACAGTTTTTCTAACACTCACATGCATTACTTTGTTGGATTTCCATAACATGCCAGTGGATGTAGTAAGGCAAGTATTGTATGCATCTTTAGAGAAGAGGAAACTAAGGTTCAGGAGTTATTTCTCAAAAATAAAATAAAGGGTGAGGCAAGGAATAATGAAGTTAAGACTCTTGTTTTGCTGACTCTTAGTTGAGTTGTTTCTGCTACCATTTTTGGGTGTTATAATGGGTTATTAGCAATGAATAAAAGGAACTTCTAAAGGTGGAATTCAAAGAAAAACGACCTATGGGGAAAGGAAATAAGAAAAAGAGGGTAGGAAACGAGTAGCAATGCAAAGGGTAGAAGACAGAGAATGAGGATGCAGGTCAAAAAGAGGAGAATGCAGATGAATAAAAAAAGAACGTCAGTAGGAGAAAAGTGGAAGGAGAAAATTAAGTGAATTTGCAGAGAGGAAAAGAAAAGAGTAAGTAAATAAAGCTGAGAAAGGGAAGAAAAGGAAGGGTGCAATGAGTGGCAAACTAAGAGTGAGAAAAAAGAACAGAAAAACTTGGGGCAGGGGTATAAGATTTGAAGTAATCATCCATCCAACTATTCGGTGGTGCAGTGGGTCAAGCACTTGGCTACGAAGGGAAAGGTTGCTGGTTCAAACCCACTAGCCGCTCTGCAGGAGAACGATGTGGCAGTCTGTTTCCTTAAAGGTTTACAGCCTCGGAAACCCTGTGCGGGCAGTTCTACTCTGTCCTGTAGGGTTACTATTACTCAACAACAACAGGTTTGTTGTATTTTGTTTTGTTTTTTACCAAGAAGGCAGATGTCCTAGGAAGGTCTACTTCAGGATCAAGTGCATTTCTCTAAATAGATACCATCAAAGCAAATATTAAATTACTTGGGAAAATAATTAAATTTCTAGCTTATCTACAGCTTATAGCATAGGGTATCCAGATCTGGCAAGCCACCTCTGAGCTTTTTTACACAGGAATAAATTCAGAGTTAAAAGTTTGGGGTTTGAGTCAGAACTAGGATTCTTCCCATCATTGTGTACCATGAAGTGAGAGACTGTGGGGAAGACACCACAGTGCTTACAGAGAAATGGTGGGGTGAGGGGACACTGGGGGATAGGGTTGAGGGAACTCTACTTAGATTGAACTAACCATGAAGTCTCACAAGATTATAACAGGCCTCACCTGGCACCAGTCTATTCAGAGCAAGAAACACAGCATGGCATATAGGCACCATCAGGAGTCCCTCCTCTTCTGTGGTAGCAGTCCTTGCACAAGCCTATGCACATGTCCACATAGCCACCCAGGAACTACTCTTTTGGTCTCCCATCAGAGTGCAGGAGATGCCCTGGCTTAGAACCCCACATGTCCCACAGGAGCCAAAATTTCCTGTAGTAACTCCACAGTCAGCCTGCAGGGATCTCATAAAGAATACAGCCAAATACATGGGTCATTACACTCGGGGAAGCCCAAAGCAGATAGCTACAGTTCCCTCAGGTCCGATGAAGTTTACTAACCAACGGTAAACAATAATATCGTTATAGGTAACGTTGCTTACTGTTTACTAAAATGCTCCAGGGTAGGCATTAGGGTAGAAGAAAAGGCTCCAGTTTCCACTTGTCACAGCTTCTAGTTTACTGGGGACTGACATGGTGGCAACTGTTGATTTGACACTGGCTTTAGTGTCTGTGGTCAAAAAAACATTCAGTTTTTAATGGGAATTCTCCCTTCAGTTGATTTTCTAGCTTTGATCCCCTGGTGACCTGATAAAGGTCGCTATCTTCTACCCTAACCCCTACCCTGGAGCATTTTAGTTAATCAGAAATGAATGTTTTAGTACAAGGGTAGTCCCCTAAGAAATCAGTCTTCTGCTGTTACTGACAGGAACATATGAAGTTTCTCATTTTCCTAATATCTATTAGGTTGACAAGGATCCTAAAGAAAGGTTCACCTCAGACTCTGAAACATTGCCCCAAATACTAAATAGCTCTTTTGCTCTATAGTTAATTGGATGTTGTTGTTGTTACGTGCCGTGGAGTTGGACCCGACTCAAAGCAACCCCTCCTTGGGTTTCCGAGGTGGTATCACTACAGAAGTAGATTGCCCCATCTTCCTTTCGAGGAGTGGCTGGTGGGTTTGAATCGCCAGCCTTCTGGTTAGCAGTCAAGTGCCTTAGGCATTATGCTACCGGAGTTCCTAGTTAACTGGATGAGTTCCACTAATACTGATTCTTGATATCCCTTCCTTTTCCCTACTCTACCTCCCAATACCTTCCCCTAGGAAAAAAATGAATGAAAACTGTATTCTTAAACCAAACAACCATACTAACATGCCAGTTTGGCTTTCTTTTTAGTGCAAACTCCAGGACCTATTGGTAAGCTGCCTTTATGTATTTATCAGCACATCTCTATTGGTTCCCTACTATGTCTGAAGGATTTAGATATTGGCTCCAACTGTTTACAATTCTGGGTTAAAGAAACTGAGAATCATTTCTAAGATTCTCATTTCCCCATATCTTAGCAATCTCTCAAAGCAGCGAATCATATTTTATAAAATGGAAACCCTCTGCTTTAGTATGCATAATAGACAGTATGACATTTTCCTAATAGCGATTATAATGGTTTATCAATGATCAATAGAAGTGCTTCCCAAAGCAAAGATGCAGCAAAGAGAACCCAGGGAGGGGGAGTTGGAGTCTACTCAATGGCAACAGCTTTGAGTTTTGGGGTTTAAGGGGAGGAGTAAGAAATAAGTAAGATTTAAAAAAAAAAAAAAAAGATGACTGAGAGAGTAAGACAAGAGTGATATGAGGGGGAAGATGGAGGGAAAGGGATACAATTAAGAATCTTACCTCAAAAAACTATAATGAAAGGTAGCAATAGTTATCCTTCTAACTAAAAACGAACTATAAATCTCCTAGAGAAAAACCTGATTCTTATGGAGAGGCTATAATCAGTAATAATCAATAATAACCCCAATAGTTGAAGACTGAGATTCAATAAACCCTGTGGAAACCATTTTCACTGATTTCCTATGACAAGCATGAATGATAAGCATGTTTTTTGTTTAACAACCATAATAATTTGTTTGCTTATTTCTATTTTCAGTACAATACACTGGACCGAGTAGTAAGTGTCTTGTCAATTTTTTCTTTGGTGTTCTTTGCTCTTCCACAGTGTCTAGCGGACCTGTTCCCTGTCCTAAGTATGCTTATTGGCATGAGAATAGCAGCTGTAAATATGTTTCTATGCTTCTCTATAGTCTACTGCTCTTTTGTTTCTCTGGTATTGCCCTGACATACCACAAATGGGTGGCTTCTCTTACAGTTTAGAAGGCTAGAAGTCTGAGTTCAAAGTGACAGCTCTAGGAGCTAGTGAAGGCCCCTTGACCTTGAGCTTCAGCTCTTCTCCTTGGCCCACTGAAGCTGGAAGCTTTTTTTAACTCAGGCAGCTACTGGCTGCCGAGGCCAACAAACTCAAGGCCAACAAGTACAATGGCACAGCCCCAAGATTATCAAACAATATGGCAGGCTACTAATTCAAGTCCAGAAACAGTCCCAATATTGGCAGGGCCAGCATGGCAGGCAGCTACATGCAGGACCCAAGGATGCCTAAAAGCTAGAGACCTTTCTCACAGCTGTGTTCTTATATATAGGAAGCAGACCACATCCCTAAGGCAGCTACTTAGATGCTCCAGTAGACTCCACCATGAAGTTGATTACCAGTCTCATCTTGGGGAATAACTACATCCAGCTGCCCAGCCACTCAAACCCAGGCCCAGCCAAGCCTAGAATTCTGTTTTTGTTTGTTTCCCCCCACCAAAGAAAATTCTCTTAGTAATGATCAAAAAAGCTTGCAGAACAATTTAGAAGAACTTTGGAAAGGAATAGGAAAGGAATAATAAAGGTAGCTTCCCATTCCTGAAGAGCTTTATAATTCATAAAGGGTTTACTCAAAAGAAATAGAGACAATGTAGAAAATATGAGAAAAGTAAAACTTCAAAATAAAGGCAAAAGGGGAAAAAGACAATCCAATGTAAATAGAAGGTGGTCTTATTAGTTTCCTGGGGGAATTCTATTAGGGAATACTACTCAGGGTCTACTCTACTTTGAGTTCCCAGTCTTCTCCCCCAACATCTCTATTTTTCCTCTCATCTCCTGTCCTGCCTGGCCCTGTCCACAAACACCCTAAATATATATATATATACACACACAGAGAGAGAGAGAGAGAGAGACAGACAGACAGACAGACAGAGAGGGAGAGAGAAAGAGCTTCAAGGAACAAGAAATGACAGTAGTTAGATGCAATGACAGGAATCGGCAGAACTATCAGGCAAATACAAACTACAAGTGGAAGAGAGTAAGGGGAAAGTTCATATAATGACTAACTAGGGAAAAGCCAGTATCAAAATCTAGGGTGTCAAAACTTAGCATACATCATGGGATATTTTGAGTTTGGAAATTAAGAAGTGATAGAATGCTTAAGTTTAAGAGATTACCAAAGGCAAGTCAGGTGTATTCAAATAAACAGTTCTCCAATTATCTCCTAACATGTACCAGTTACTGAGCTGAGCACTGGGGATGAAGTTATGAAAAACAGAAGGAGATGTGGTTTCTGGTATGGTAGAGTTTACAGTCCTATAAGAAACCCTGGGAAAGGATCTCATAATGTGAGAGGACAGGCAGCCTCCCACACAGTCATACTATGACCACTGAACCTGGATATTGGCTGCCCTAAATGCTGGTTCTAAATACCCTACTTGTTGTGAATGAATAAGTGTCACCCAGCATTTAATGTCTATTCCTCTAAATAGGCTGCCTCCTCAGTACTCTTAACTATCACCAAGACTTACATTCCTAGAAGTTCTCTACTTTTTACAGGGGAAAAAGTATTAGGGTTTCATTTTAACCAAACTCTCCTAAACTCCCACCATGTTCCAGAGAACCTATATGGGTAAATGGATTACCTCATTACCCTCCCCCAACTCTCTTCTATCAGTAAACACTAAATCACAGGTGATTTGGAGAAAGTGAAAACTGTACTGATTAATTTTTTCAATTACATTTAGTGGCTCCAAACAGACCTACTAAAGAGAAGGAGTGGGAAGTATACTTTTCAAATCAACTAATGGGTTAGATAGGAAAGAGAAAATTAGAATGACGAAAGTACATAGCAGCACAAATTTAAGACATTATGAACCTTGAAGTGTCTTAAGCATTTATTATCCCTGAAGGGAATGGAAAGCATGAAAAAGTCTCCCTTTCTAGTCATTCTTTTGCCTTGGACAGGTGCAAGCTGACAGGAGGCTGCAATGCTTAAGCCCAGGCACTGCACTAAGCTCACGTGCAGATTTTAGAGCTCCTGGTGTACTCTAGGAGCTCTAGTGGTGCAGTAGCTAAGGCATTCGCCTGCTAACCGAAAGGTTGGTGGTTTCAACCCACCAGCTGTTCTGCAGAAGAAAGATGAGGCAGTCTGCTTCCGTAAAGATAAACAGCGTTGGAAACCCTTGGGGCAGTTCTACTCTGTCCTTTAGGGTCATTGTGAGTCATAAGCCACTCGATGGCAGTGGGTTTAGTTTTCAGTGTCCTAAGTCCATCATGGGACAACTGGGTTCTCTTTGTCCTACACACACTGACCTCTCTCTCTCTCTTTTTATTTTCTTCCTTTTTTTCCATCAGCTGACACTTCCGAAATGACCAGTAAGTTCCATGTCTGTTCTTATACGGTAGTTGCTTTTAGTCTTTTACAAGGTCTAGGATTCTTCCCTCCCTGATTCTGTATGTCCTGTAGATGGAGAAACATGAGACCCCCTTCTCTTTTGCTTATCCCACTATCTAGCTGCCCCCTCGGGAAAGCATGGAAGGAAATGCAAAGCTCACTAATTAACCTAAAATACCAAGATCAGAGGAAATTGTCTTAAACTTGCAGTGATCTTGTCAACAAGGGAGGGAGGATATTTGTATTAATGGATGAACGTTTACATAGGATGGCAGACATACGAAGACAGAAGGTGAAAGCAACATTTTAAAGAAATTACCTATCCCCTGCAGGACTTCAGTTACAATCACTGCAGAGAAGGGGAGAAATCGGCCTTTTCTGAGTCCTCCCTGACTACAATCAGGCAGAATCCCCAAAAGAGCACTTGCATCCCCATCCGACAGTGCCTACAAGAGTTTGATGCTCTCTCGCTAGTTATTTCTGGTATTCCTTCTTAGAAGAGTAGCAAAAATTAGCTTCTTCTTTGACCAGCCAGTTCACACTAATTTCTCCCTTTTTGTTTTTCAGCTTCAGGATCCTCTAGTAAGTTTGACTGTCTCCATAACAGAACTCAGTTATGCACAGATGTGTCTGACAAGTATTGAACCAAAATTTATCCATCCATGTTGGAATTGCAACAGTTGAAAACTCTTTTTTTTTTTTTTTTGACACTTTGTTATTACTCAGAATTCTACTAGGACAATAGTAAGTTTCTAGAAGATTTACTTGTGGTGTAGGTAGTGGTTAAGCTCTCAGCTGCTAACCAAAAGGTTTATTTGTTTCTCTGTTGGGCACTTATCAAAGTCATGTGATATCTGTTAACAGTACAGAAACTTGAAACCCCTACTTTTTTAGCCTTTTGCCTTTTCATTATCCAGAATTTCACCAACTTCTGATTAATTTTCTGGAATATTCAAATGTGTCTGATAGGAAAAACTTTTTCAGCACTTATGTTGTTGTTGTTGTTGTTGTTATGTGCCGTCAAGTCAGCCCTGACTCATAGCATGAGTTATTTCACAAATAGATAAAAAGGAATGGGAGAGGAAACCAGATGGGGGCAGTAAGAACTCTCTCTGCTTGTTTTTCAGTGGGATCACCTCCACAACCCATCAGTAAGTCTGTGTGCTCATCTGACTCTCTGCCGCAGGGTTCAATGGTCTCTAGTGGGGTCTCAGAGTCTTTTTCTGGCCAAATTGGAACATGAAGGGCTTGAGGTACATCTTGGCAATTGGGTAACTCATGATCAAAACATGTCTGGATTAGCAATGATGTATTAAAAAGTTCAAATTCTACTGAACAGAAATATATTACATAAGTATGAAGAGCATAGAAAAAGTTTCTCATAATTATAAAGACCATTAACAAGAGACTGTCTACAGAAAAAGAAAAAATAATGAGAGAGAAAGGAGAAGATAAGACGTTTCTGTAACTGCTTCAATTGGACCACCTGTATTACCCAATCTGTTTTTCCACATTTGAACTCCAAGATGTCCAAGGAAAATTTCCCTAGCCATACATTCTGGGATTTCAAGGGCTTGAAGTTCCTATTTCCTTGACCTCTTGCTTTCCAATTTACCCATAATTCTCTCAGCTTTTACTTAATTTTATGGGAAAAGAA